ATGGAAGTTTTGCTGGCCTAAATTAAGTAGAGGCCAATGTTGATCATATTTGGAAATCACACCCATGGGCAACCAAAGGCTGAGTTGCTTTCTAACTCAGCCGCTCCACCTAAGGTTACTTTGCTCTTTTGGGACTGAATAGGAACAGGAGTGACTAAGAATTAATCCATTCATTTGTTGTCCTTCAGATATAGCCTTGTTTTCAGATCTCAAACCACTTCCCAACAAGTCCTGGTGTCTTGGGATGTATTTTGTATCCTATGAATATATCTAACAGGACATTTCAGCTGGTATATGCAAGCATTTGCAAGCTCTGCAGCCAACATATGATAACTCCATGATAACCATGATAACTCTACAGCCAATGCATATGAACAGCTGAGATGCCTAAATTGCTTTTAGTGCCTAACTTGTTTCACTCTGCCTCAAAGAGCGACCTCTAGACAGGCTGAAGCTAATGTATGAGCAAATATTCTTAAATGTATGAGCAGCTTCAGACTACTTATTGCAGTCTGTAGAGAGTGCATACACCTCTCAAAATCCCAGAGATTTCAACAGGACTTTGCATAAACTTACATTGAAAATTTCCTTCAGATCAACAGCAGGGCTTTGGAAAAGGCAGTTAAAGCATCGATGGATAGACAGTTCTTTTTGTGGGGGGAAATGCTGAACTGAATACTGCAGCCTGAGACGGACAAATCCCCAGCAAAAGCACTGTATAAAGCACTCATGACACGAGTGGAAGGACATTAGAGGTTCGGCTAAATCTTATTAAGTCTTATTAAGTAGCCATACAAAAAAGTAAGTAAAATAAAACCTATTTAAGAAGAGATTTATGCTGAAAAAGCAGAATCCCTCTCACCTCACTAACTGTCTAGAAGTTGGGTGTCTCCTTTAACCTGGTTATACATGCTCCTTCCCATTCAGTGGAGAGGAACAGGCACCTCTGCAGGGTGATGTGGGTTAAGGACAGTTTATTCTCCAAGAACTGAAATGGATTATCTTCTAGGAGTAATTATGAAATGACAATCTGGGTTATGGGGTTTGGGTTTTTTTTTCGTCATATTATGTTTTCTCCTAAAGACATTGTGTGATTTATATCTGAGTTACATCAGGGAAGTCCTCTGCCAAGTGCTGTCCAGGATACAGAAGAAATGGCCACCCTTTTATTGTATCACCTACAAAATCTCAGGGACAGTTATAGTGAGTGAGGGACAGGGTTGCAGCCTCTTCTGCATCCTGTCACTGCTTGCCTAATGTTAGACAACTAAATGGTATGTATTTAGTCTAAACGCATCATCTAGGTTCCCCCTAGATTCTCCAGAGAAAAGTACTGCTGGAGTGCGGGCATCTCATCTCACCTACTTAGGTATCTTTGGACATGGGCTGATCCATGTTTTGGAGGCATCCTTCCTCCCTCACTCTCTGGTGACTCTATTTTGGACTAACTGCCAGTCTCTCAGACAGCTGTAGTTGTAAGAGAAAAATTGCTTGCATAGGGCCTGTGTACAAATACTAGCTACTTACACATACATATTCAAGAGCTCACGTAGACCCATTTGTCACAGTAGCCACAGAACGGGGTATTGCAGCTCCAGCTCTCTCAGCATGCATCTTCCAGGTCAGATCTGCTTGCCTGACCACTGAGTGCACTGCGTTCTTACTTCTTTTTTGTGTGCGCTATTTTCTGCTCTTCCAGAGCCATCAGGCAATGGCAGCTACGCTGGGATCTAGCCTGACTTGTGTCAGTGATGATGTGAAGGAACAAATTCTGACCTTCATGAAAATTCGGGGGTGGGGGGGAGCTATCCTGAACTTTACTGACGCTGGGGCTTGACCTGAAATTCCAACTCTAGCACTTCTGTTGCTGGCAATGCTCTGACCACAAAGGAGATACTAGTTCTCAAGCCACCTCACCGTCCACTCATCTAGCCCACACTTCCTGAGCTTGCCTATGAGGATGTGATGGGAGACAGTGTCAAAAACCTTGCTCAAGTCCAGGTAGACAACATCCACTGCTCTGCCCTCATCTACCCAGCCAGTCATTCCGTCATAGAAGGCTATCAGATTGGTCAAGCATGATTTCCCTTTGGTGAATCCATGCTGACTACTCCTGATCACCTTCTTGTCCTCCAGATGCTTAGTGATGAATGAGATACTAGTTCTCAGGTGAGCAGAGACCCATTTCACTTGTGCACTTGCAGTATTGGTACTAAAATTGGTACTACCAGTACAGTACTGGTACCAAATGGTATTGAGAGTCAGAGGGAGGAATTCCTACTTCATGTTAGGAGATACACAATGGAAATGGAAGGTAGTAGCAATAGCTGGCCTTCCACTATTTTGGAGGAAGCTTGGCATTTGGAGGAGAGGGGAAGGAAGTCTTCTCTGTGTCTCTTTGAAAGGAATAACCTGGGTTGGAGTAAAGACCTCCAGTGGATTCACTCCTCTCATTTCAACAGCTATCCTAGCATGGGAACAAGGAGGAAAAAGTAAAACTTTCCAATAGCCATTGCAATTACTCACTTTCCACAGCTTCTTAAATAGGACACGGAGACATTAGCAGATCTTTCTGCAAAAGAGCCTGGCTTAGCTTCTTGCACTAGGCTTGGGATTGCAGTCTTAAGAACACGGAAAACTGGGGCGTAGGGGGATGTATGCCACAGAAAATGGCAAAGTCCTTACCCTAGGATTGACTGAATCCACAAGGGACTGTGTGAACCGTATGGAAATAGCTGGCGTCTGGACATAGTAGCATGAGCTTTAGCTGAGTTTAAAAGCCCTGCTGTGGGCCATTTTGCCAGTTTGCATCTCCCAGTGATATAGCTGATACTGTTTCTGTTTAGAGGCAGAACTAGCCTATTCCTGGACTGTGTAACAAACCATGATCGTGTAGACACAATGAACCAAAAGAGACTTGATTTAATTTTTAAACACAGCAACTCCTTAATAAAACCTATGCCCATTTGCTTTGGTTTCTGCCTGCTTCAAGGCAAAATCTTCAGTGCTCCCTTTCATAATGGCTCCTCTCAGCATTTAATTTCCTTTTGCATAATAATGTACTGGCCAAGAGGAGGAAGATATACATGCACCAAATTGGCACGGAGGAGCTCAAGGAAATCTTGCACCTGAGTCAGGAATGCTGAGCAAGCTCTCTGCTGCTCATATCCCCCGGCAGCATTTGCCATCCGCTCAGTATAGCCCACTGTTCAGAGGGCAGCCTGGAGACACGCTACAGCAGCTTTGGCGCGCACAGTGGAGGAAGGGAAAAGGTGCATTGGGGACCCGGAGAACTCAGCTGCTGGAGCGTGTCAGGGAAA